CACAAAACATCTTTATCAAATGAATGAAGTAAAAAATTTCTGCACACAGTTACACAACCAATATTAAATGAACTATAATAAACATTTATTGATTTTATACAATATATTTAATTTTTTCCCTCATGCAGTTGGTCTAGAGACACAAGACTGAGATATATAAAGAAAAAAGGTTAATAAAACAAGTTTTAAAAACATTCCTTCACTTCAACCCCCCCCCCAAAAAAAATATGTCTACCATTTATATACAATATTACTTACAAATTCAGAGGACACTGGAGAAAATTCAACATAATAATTTACTTGAAATATGGAAAAATCACTTAAAAACATCCTGTTGAAAAACAAACAAATCAATGATCCAATAAAACAAAACATATGGTTTATTGTGTAGTCTGCAAATGTGGAGAAATATACTTTGGAGGGACTGGAAGTATAATAAAACAAAGACACAATGAACATGCTGGCACAACAAGACTCTTCCATCCTGAAAAAACCACAACAGATTAATGCCTCCTAACAACAGGACACAATATTCAGTGACAGAATTATAAAATCTTAGCCACTGAACAAAATCAAAAACTAAGGAAAGTAAGAGAAGCCCTGAGAATAAAACTAAAAAAAAGCAAGCACAAATCAGGACCAAAAAGTTGAACATAAACAGGATTAACTTACTCCCCACACAACCAGCTGAATCATCCAGAATCCTTTCTGAGGTCTGTAACACACACACTTTTCAGGTTGAATCAAAAGGAGTTCCAACCACACAATCAATTACTAGAACTATATAAAAACAACTTCCTCGACACCAGAACAATAGAAAAACTTGAGGCAATGTCTCTTTTTTGCAGCAGAATTGAACTAGAAATTGTAACTTGGCATGTTTAATTCCATCTGGAACTATAGTAGATAAAACTTAAAGATAAAAACGGAAATATAGGTTGTTTATGGATTAAAAGAACTACAGACTTGGTATACAAAAATTATTATATTGCAATGATTAAAAATCATACCCCACAGACATTTTTTTTCTCTGATTAATCTGGTAAATGTTAGTTGTAAGACATTATTATTAATTTCACCTGCAAGTTGATGATACTTCAATGACGAGCTGTGTGCTTTTGCTTGGTGAAGAAGTAAACCTCGTGCACTGACAAAATTTCTGTCACACGTGATACAATAGTCCAGTCTTGCTTTCTGAACATAACCTTGTTCTTTACTTGGCCTTTGGTCACTACCTGTGCTTAAACATAAAACAATTTTCAGGTGAACACACTTTCTAAGGAACACTACAAAACAAACATGAAAAGTCACTTACTCTTCCCATGCTGCAGGGTGTCAAACAAAATGTTTTCTGAGGTAATTGTTACAGACATGTAAGTAAGTTCAGAAACAACGTCTGTCATTTTCAACTTAAGTATTTATGATTTTTAACAGTTTATTGTATTAGGTAGATATAAAATATATGAATAGTGATAATGTCTATTTATTCAAAACACAAGACCAAGGTTATTAAATTAAACTTATTTCTTGTTATTCAGTATTACATTCGGTGTGTGTGTGTTTCACATCTAATTTGGTAACTGTTTATCTACCGACACTGTATTATGACCAGAGTACTAATCAGTCACCTGATACCAGCGAAAAGATGCTAATAGTACGAGGCCAAACAACAACAATAATCTCAATTAATATCAAAGTTTATAATGGATTACAACACTGAAATCAAAACATTTTGTTTGTTTGTGTTTAAGGACAAAGCTATGCAATGGCTTATCAATATGAATAATAAAACCCAAAATTTAGCATTATAAGCCATCAGACTTACTGCTGAACCACTGGGAGGGAGTAGTGTGAAATTAACCGATCAAATTCATGTATTATTACAATCTTATAAACTAATCTTTAGAAGCAAAACATGCTCAAATATTAATAATTGGTATTTTCAACTTCAAGGCACCTTTGTAACCCAAAGGCTAAATGCCAGGTCAGGGGCCCCTAAAGTTCAGGCTTAACTGTGACCACTTTAGAATTAATTCTTAAAGAAAGGGCAGCCCCCACCATCTATTAATGCACCTATACACCGAATCAAATAATATGATAGCTGTAATGACTCCACAATTAAAAGTGAGCAGCTTATTCAGTGTCATATCGTGGCTCAAATCGAAGCATAAGTAGTTATATCATGTAAAATATGTAGTTTGTTTAGCTCCATAATAAAAACACCGTGTGCAGGAAGAACATACTACAAAATTGTGGATATTCACTTTTATTTACATCTGAAGATGTAACCTTGGAGAGTTTTTAAAGTGTTATTACAAGTTAGTTAATAGCAACAATGCTTTTAAAACACTGTAGAAACAAACTCCTCTAATTCTTGAAAATCCCAAAAAGATAAGGTTAAGAATAGTGTTTAAAAAATGTAATAGGCCTAATACTAATGTCTTATGACAGGTATAATTCTAGAAACTTACACATTAATGGGAAAGTATTCATGGCACACACAAAATGCCAACAACATGTATATTCAAACTGTTCATTACTTAAAGATTTTGTAGGAAGCAGTTTAAATTTATACAGCATAAATACTTTATTGTAAAATATTTGGTTGCCAATTTAGAGGAAAATATACATAATGGTTTTCACTCGTACTTTTATTCAAATTTGTCTAGAAGAGATGACCAATCAATTAAAAAAATAAAAATTGCTACAGTTGATTTCAATAAATATTTGTCAGTTTCAATTATCTTGGCTCACTTTTCTGACTTCTAATGTGTTAGTCACTACAACCCAGCCCATTAAGACATCAGATATGTTATTATATTCCCCATTTTTATTCTAAGGGCTTCTTTCTTTTTATACTTTCCTACATTTCCATGTTTGTTCATTTGCTAAAATTTTATACTTCCGCCATCGAATATTGTCTCCCGTTGTGAGGGGATGTTCAGCTGTACCTGATTTTTCAGAATGGAAAAGTCTTGTTGTGTCAACATGTTCGGTAAGTCTTTGTTTTGTTGTTCTTCCTGTCTTTCCAATGTACATTCCTCCATAATTTCAGGGTACACATATGTGAAAAGCATCCTTAAGTCAATTACCTGACATGTTTTCCACATAATCAATATGTTTCAAAGATGTTGAATGTGCTTTAGCCTGGTGTAGCAGTAAGCCCCATGGACTGGCAAATATTCGGTTACACACGGGGCAAACTGGTTTTGTAGATCCGATAGGTTCACCTGCTCCACTTTCTGTTTCTAAATATTAAATGTAAGATTTGAATTCTTTCAGATATTTACATTATGTAAACTCAAAAAGAATCTCTCAACAACTACAACAAATTTCCAGATCATAAACATAAGAACACTTGCTTGATGTTACACTAATTTACATAACACTGAAAGATTTAACGCACAAGCTGAACATTGGATTATTTCTTAGTATAGCCTCAAACTTTATTTATAATAGTACACCATTATTACATTTTCTATAACTTTAAAAACTAAACATGGTGAGATGAAATGTTTACAGTAGCAGTAACTGTTTAAAAAACAACCTCTGCAAAATAATACGTCATATAAAACAAATGTTTCAGTGAAGAAATCAGATATTTTAAAACAACAAATAATAATCACCACTTGTGTCACCACTGCGTAATCTGGAAACTTTCCCCAAAGCTTGTCTTTTACTAATGTTGATGGTCTTCTTCTTCTTTCGAGAGATTCTTTTTTTTTGGCAGTAGTATGAATGGACACTGACTGCACGTGAAGTATTAAACCCAGTTTTCCCACAAAATGTACATCGACCCATGTCTTTATTTGTTGCATCCAAATCTGGAAGCAATGCTGTAGGAAAAATAATAATAAAGACAGACACTAATATCATTATAATTCTTCCTTAGAGAACAGATGGATTACACAGGATCAGAACCATCAGACTGCAGTTTTATTTTTTTTGTCCAACTGAAAAAATAAAAAAGTGTTTTATAGAGATATTTTGTATGACAATTTTTTTTACCAACTACATGAATTGAACACAATCGTAATCAAAAGGATAAAAAGGAATTACATACCAGAATAATAATTTGATAAGTGCATCCAAAAGAAACATTTCAGTTATTTTTAAAATAAAAAAAGATTGAAGAAAATGTAATAAATAATAAAACAAAATGGAAATAAACAATCAAAAATAATAAAAAAGACTATTCTGCCTTTCACAAGATTTTTCTCTCCTTTCTTTAGACTATAGGTTAGAAAGTTTAATTATAAAAAGTAAAGAGTAGTTATATCATCAAAGCAAAAAGGTGACATTTTCTAGCTTTTATTACTTTAGAAATGAGTAGAATTAAACTCCCTGCAAGACAAACCTGATTTTTTCATTCTTGTTACCACATTTATTTCACTTATTTAATCTCGATTTTCTTTAAGTGATATGATATTTTTTTGGCTAGCTTGGGTTTTATCTTCTTCTTGTGTTGTACTGGGTAAATCATTTGTTTTGGTATGCAACTTCTCTCTCTCTCTTTTTTTGACTGATGTATTGAAGAATTTTTCACTTATCAATGAATCAATAAGGTTTAAGACTAAGCCATTTTGAGAACGATTCGAAAACAAAATTTCATCCAGTCTCATCCTATAACCACTTCTCTTAAAGTTTAAAGCAATACATAGTAGAGACAGAACAATCTAACAGTTACTTGTACACTATTATCATTCAAGTAACTAGAGAGAGAGAGACGTACAGTAGGTTAGTCAATAGCACTGGGACAGTATAACCATCCCACTGGCCCACTGGGATTTTGCCTGGTGTCCCAGTGGCCAATCTGCCCCTGAGTACTGTCATTCCAGCATTTTTTTTTTGTTAATTAAAGTACAAAGCAAAATTGCTGGCAAGAGAAAGATTAGCTTTATTTTAGAAGATTAGAAGCAACAGGAACTTAAGGCAAGCTAATACAAAGAATACTATCCAATCGTACTTGTCATGAGACATCAGTATTACATCTATTATATTTTTAAACACTACATTCTACAAATGGTAACAGAAGACTTATATAAATGATGACCCAACAACTACTGTATTTGTTGTATCCTAGCTTGCATGAAGAGCTCTGGATTGAGCAAAACACACCATCAGCAATGAATATGACAAATATAATATGGTTGGAATACTATTATTATACACTCTTCTAATTCTTGGAAATCCCTAAGGGACTAGATACAGAATGTAGTGTTTAAAAATAAATTAGGCTTAAAATTAATACCTTATTACAATTATGATTAATTATAATCATACTTCCCCAGCTTGTAAAAGGCATTCACACCATAGCAATAACACCCAATGCTACAACCAATTCTCATTCAAGCTGCTGTGATGATTCATATTAAACCACAGATGTTTATGTTCCTTGAGATGCATTTATGGATTTCACTTTCTAAAGGTTCCCTAGCTTCAGTAGTATAAACATATGTAAAGCTATTTTTACCTTAAAGGCAGTTAGATCTAAGTAATCCAAAGTATTAATTATGTTAACAACATAGCTGCTTCAGGGTTTCATGTTGGTTTTGTATACAACAAATTTCTTTTATCTGTTGTATTTTATTTTTTGACTTTCCCTACTTCAGAAAACCAACATGAAACCCTGAAGCAGATATGTTGTTAACATAATTAATACTTTGGATTACTTAGATAAAACCAACATGAAACCCTAAAGCAGCCACGTTGTCAACATAATTAATTGTTTTTACTTAGATAAAACCAACATGAAACCCTGAAACAGCTATGTTGTCAACATAATGAATACTTTGGATAACCTTTACTAGTACAATAATCTTCATAAAGTCGTGACGAGAAAAACTTGTGTGTGATGCTATTATAATTTGTATTATGTTCACAAATGCTATCTTTCTCATGAATTAAATAATTTTAATATCTATACCTTTACACTTTTTTTAATGAATTACTGTATTCTGAAAAATGTTAAACACCAAACCATCTTTTGTTATTTTTCTTCTAACTATAATGATCTAATTTGGCAATAATCCAATAATAGTATACAATAGGCTCTACAACAGTGTTGGAATCTTTTTTCTTGACAAACAATATATTGATACACAAACAGTATTGTTGTAGATTTGTAAAGCTAAAATAAAATCAGCTTAAAGACTTTTCCTAAAAGAAATATATAAATGTAAGTCAACTCTACTCTGACTCGTTAATAAGATATTCACAAAAACAACAACAACAAAAAAATATTCTTATACTTTGGTTCCCTGGCAAGAGAACCCTGAATTTGTTTGTCAAATAGAGACTAGGTTTGTGAGCTGTTTTTTTAACTAAAAACTGAGGCTTGCATATTATCTGTGAGTTGACTTGATTCTGAAAATGGTCCATACGTTTTGCTACATTTATTTTTATCTAATATAGAAGAATCAAGAAATGACATTTCCTTACCAGTTTCAGTGTCTGTCTCCCCATTTGGATTACTTTGCAGTTGATTTGAAATGATCAAATCTGAGGGGTTTTCTCTTCCATCATACCCGTGGTTGGTAGGCCGTGTTTCATTCAAGTTTAGACTTTCCTCAGGACCACAGCTGCTTTCTGGTATAGTACTACTTGACTCTGCATTGACTGCCTCCAAAAGAGACTTCTTGCCTTTTCTTAAGCTCTTCATTGAAGCTAATAGTTTTAAAAGTCATAAAGATTTTTTTTGTAAATAGTAAGATCTCCTGCATCTACCCCTTCAAATTACAGACTTGTTTTTATACTATTCACTACCAGTGAATGCCAGATTTTGTAAAGAGTAGTTATAAAGTTTTGCCCGTTACAAAGTCTACTGTAAAGAGCTGACCAAAAAATTGCACAAAATCAACTTAGAAGGATTAATCGCAAAGTTGATAGTATTTTTATTTAGATATTTTGTGTGAATCATGTTATTAGGGGCTATGTAACCATCAAGGTAACAAATCCACAAGCAATTTGGTGCATACATAGACTAAAAAAATGTGTTTAAAACGTTTATGGGGTTATGGAACGACATCTTGAGGGAGAAAAATCTGTTGATCAATTCACGAGTACAGGAAAGGCAACCATCCAGTGTCCAATGCAAGTACGCACACTGTGTTTTGTGTCCTTTGTTTTCATTTTGTATCACAAATTGTGTCCAGTCGTTTTATTTGTTAGCTTAGAACTCAGTAAGTTTAGTTCAGTATCAGACTGTGATCTATCTTGCTGATCCACCTGTTACAAAGTGGGCCTATCTGAGAATACTTAAATGTTGGGTTTACAAGACTGTTTAGTGTAAGAGCTATTGTTTAGTTAATTTAGTGATTTAATATTTAATGATTATTTAGTATTCAAAACAACAGTGTTAAAAGTTAATTATTATTGTTATAATAAATTTCTTTACATAACTTAGTAAGAGTCGTATATTGTGTGTGTAGTTCAATTGTTAGAGTATAGTTGAGGTCATCTTTTTCAAAACCTCTAAGTTATTCTTCCTATGCGAGTATTGTTACACCATAGCATCTCACAGTTTGTAGAAAGTTTGAGGCCTCAGTTGGGCAAGATATATATATATATACATGACCAAGTAACCGCAAGTCGAGTAAAGTTTAGTCAAGACAGAAAAAAGTTAGTGAAAGAAAACATGAAGTTAACTGGCGTGTGTTAGCCTAAACAGGTGATTTCTCTAGTATGGTTCACAGCTGTATTGTAACAACAGAGATAGGAAAAATAATTTGTTTTGTCAATTGGGTTCTAAAGTAACCGAACCAGTCTGTGTGAACTTTTGATGAAAAAAAAGAGACAATTATTTTAAGCTCTGAATACAACTGTGGTTACCAACTAAAGAAGTGAAGTAGAAGAAGTTAATAGACTGAAAACGTTACGTTAGTGAAAATTAAGTCAGACTGCATGATTGTTAGTTTATCTGCAATGAGCGATATTAAAGAGTCAGTTTCAAAGTTTAACAAAGATAAGGAGAATAATTTGTCTTGTTAAAGGGTGTTCTAAAGTAATTAAACCCATCTGTGTGGACTTTGACGAAAAGGAGACAATTATTTAAAGTTCTGGATACAACCGTGGTAACCCATGGGGTAACATAAGTGAATTTATTGCAGATTATATAGTAAGAAATAGATTAGAGAAAGTTATAATTTTACCTATACATAAAATGTATTTCTGATAGGTACTTACCTCCTCTCACATAAATAGCTATTCTCGTTCTGTGCTGCCTTCTATATGCAAACAATTTCTTTTGCACATGCCACAAGCCTTAAATCTCCCACTTGAAATGATTGATTCCATTGCGCCTGACATGCAAATCGGCATGCGACAACCCTCCACCAATAAGACTGAGACAAACTCTCTTGATGCCTGTGACTCCCTCTATTCTATTCTACCAAACTATCACTTTGGGTTTTGGCAGAAAATGGAAGCACCAGTATTCAGTGGGGAGGAAGGGTGGGAAGTGGTAAGTACCTATCAGAAATACATTTTTAGAGTAGGAAAATTATAACTTCCAATACATTACATTACCTCCCCTCACATAAATAGCTAGAACCCCATATTGAATTGGTGGAGGGAGAGAAAGAAGCATCCGAAGGACACTCCCCAAGAGGAGATCTTCAGAATCAATGATCTGATGTGGGAGACCATACCACTTCTGAACCAGGTATGCTCTTCACCCATTGTGGAAGGATGTTGCACATATGGGCAAAAAACAGAAGAGCACATCCATCTGGGAGAGAACTATGGCATGACAGGGATCCAAACCATACAATATTTATGAAACTCAATCCCTGAAACATAAAAGTGGGTAAGATTAAAAGGATGTGACCCTAAGTGTAGAGTGGCTAGGGTGTGACTGACCGTACACAGCAAGTCAAAGATCATGCTGTTGGTAAGTCAGCTACAATCCAAAACCTGGCCGCCGTGTACTGACATCCATGTGGGGGTAGGAAAGAAGATCATACCGCTGGCAAGTCAATTACAATCCAAAACCCAGGCCACCATACTCTCTTCACCTCAAGTTAATGAGACCAGAGGGAACAAGGCACATGATAATGTGAAAAATTGATTGATTGATCTGGGAACACAACATCTGACATCAAAAAGATGTCTACTTAATATAAACCATCTCACTCAAATTATAAATTGACAAGAACCACCCCAAGCACAGTAACACCCTCAGAGTAATAAGCATTGAGGGATAGCGGAAGGTGAAGAACCATAGTAATCTGCAAGTACCTCCACTATTATCTACAACACTGATGGAGTAACGAGAATATAAATGAGGGAGAGAATAGAGACATTTGTAATACATGCATGAGGACTTATGTTGATTGGTTCAGCTCTAATTCCAAAACCCAGTCTGTGGGAACCAACAACCACATGGGGGGGTAGGATAAGGGATTCCAATCGAAGGGATGAACTGCAATTTTGACGGCTTACTCCCATTTTATATAGTGGCTTGGAACTGGAAAGTGGTATGGACTCTTAAACTCCACAAGAAGAAATGGGGGGGGGGGAACACAGTGGAGAGTTCAGAGGAATGACTACACCTGAGACATTGCAATGAGTGACCACAAAACCCTATTTTT